TCTCTGGTGGTGAGAGGAAGAGGACTTCGGTTGGCGTAGAGCTCATCACCAAACCAGAGATGATATTCTTGGACGAGCCTCTTACTGGTCTCGACTCCTATGCCGCTACTACCACTGTGAAGGTACTCAAGGATCTAGCGGCTAATGGAGTACCTGTCATGATCACAGTTCATCAGCCATCCAGTGAGATCTTTGCTATGTTTGATAATATCGTAGTTATTTCGGAAGGCTGTATCGTGTACGATGGTCCCAGGAAGGAGCTTGTCAACTTCTTTTATGAAAATGGTGGTTATAAGTGCCCGAGTAACTACAATCCTGCTGATTTCGTATTGTACGTGTTGCAGACTGAACCGAGGGAAAATATTGAAGTTCTCGTTGATGCATATAAAGCTTACTTCGAGAAGCGGATGATGTCAGGAATAGATGAGCTCCGTGGGAAAGCTGTTCAGCAGGCTGAAGTTCATTCGAAAGCTCGAGTAGCTTCCTTGCGAGTTCAGCTGAGGGAGTTGCTGAAAAGGGACTTCCGAGACATCATCAGGAATCCAACGGTGCAAATCATAAAGTTTTGCATGACCGTTTTCATGGGGCTTATAATGGGCTGTGTGTTCTTCCAAGCTGGTGCGGATGAGTCTGAAATGTACTGGCTCACCAATCGTGGGAGATTCCAGTCCTACTATGGTGGAATAGTCATTACGTGTGTGGCTGCTATGATGGGATCAGCTCAGACGACCATCCTGAGGTATCCAGATCAGCGAGCTATCTTTGTGAGGGAATACGCTAGCAATATGTACTCCTCTATTCCTTATGTGCTATCACAAACTCTACTGGAAGTGCCAATGGCATTCATAGAGAGTGTTATTCAGATCATCATAGCCTACTTTATGCTAAACTTTCAAGGCAGCTGGATCTTATGGGTTTTGAGTAACCTTCTTATCAACTTAGTATCGGCATCCTTTGCCCAGTTCCTCGGTGCTCTGGCTAACTCTGGCGCCCAAGCAATGCAGTTTATGCCGCTCATTTTGGTCCCTCAGATGATCTTCTCTGGTTTGTTCACTCCTATAAGTGAAATACCGGTGTGGTTACGATGGTTGCAGTATTTGAGCTTCCTCAAGTACACTGGTTCCTTGGCATACTTCAATGAATTCGGCTTCGATATGACCCTCCTGAACGAGGCTAATGACATCCATGCTGATCTTGTTGGGTTGTACATCGGTGTTTTGTTGGCAATGCTCATCATACTGCGCATCTTGGCGACTGTGATTCTGAAACGTAAGGCTCGGTATGTGTATTAGGCAGCTGAGGAGACAGCAGTACTTCGATGGACGCAGGGCTGTTAGTCCTCAGAATCTCGACTGCCACTCTTCTTTGGTTACCGTCACTAAGCAGACGCTTTGTTCCACCACAATGGTTTGGTAAGTGATTATTTTCTATGCTTTTAAAAGAGCTGTACGACGTAATAATGATGAAACTTCCAGTAGCATCCAAACGGACCGCTGTTTGAGACTCCTTGATAGTATTCCATTGACAGGCGTTGTCTGTCGCTCTTCTCTTCACGCTGTTTGTTGCGTTTCCCAGAGTGATGACCACTTGCACTGTATA